CACCCAGAGCAGGCTGCACAGCACCGCGTCCAGGCGGGTCTGGAATATCTCCAGAGAAGGAGACTCCACAGCCTCCATGGGCAGCCTGGGCCAGGGCTCCGTCACCCTCAGAGGGAAGATCTTCCTCATGTTCTTCCAGCTGCTAACATCTGTTGCTTCCAAAGCAGAGCATGGGAACATCAAACCTGTAAGGAACTCATCAACGTCAACGCTGGACATTAAACCCCCATCTCCAAAACTACGTATTCTCCAGTTAGGTCGAACAAGACAGTGATTGTAGAGGAAACTAGAGACTTCTCGCTGAGGACGGATCCGAGGATTGACTAATATGGGTTGTTTGAAGACTCTTTGGTCTCTGATAGCTGTAACCATCACCCGGGAGCGGCCAAGGTCTCCAGCGTGGCGATGTGCTGACCCCAGGTTAGGCACAGCAGACAGGAGACCATGTTCGTGGGCAGCTTCCATGCGGGCACAACTCGGGGAGCGACTCCTTGCCCCAGCCCCCATGCCCCGAGGAGCGCTGCCCCCTCCCACTCCGAGCCCACGGGACGCCCTGGCCCCCTCCCAGCCCCCGATTCACAGTCGAGGAGTTCACAACCAGGATCCCCAAGGAAACACCCAGACTTTGCAAAGATATAAACTGGCGTCCAGTCCCTGTGGGTGGCCTGGAAGATGTCACCCCTCATGGTCCCTGAGCCTCCACGGCGGCCACCCCAAGTCCTCCATCATGGGTTTGGGCCTCCCTGCTGCCATCAGTAGACTGATCAACCCTCAGATGGCAGAAAAACCTTGCAGAGGACACCGAGGTCCCCGCTGGCAGCGGTCTCACTCCCAAACTCCACCAGCTCTCCCAGTGCCACACCAGCTCTGCCCTCGCTCCCTCTGGCACTGTAGCTCCCCGGCATCCCTGCATGGGGTGGCCAGCCCCCTTGGGAGAGAAAGGAGATGGGACAGCGGGTGCCGAGGGACTGTCCCCATGGGCAGCGGAGCCAGCGCCGAGGTCTAAGGCTTGGCCAAGTGGCAGCAGGAGACCTGCCCCAAGGGAAGGGGTCTCGGCTGGGGCTGGCTGGAGCTCCCCAGATTGCTCTCCTCCTGCTGTGGGTGAAAACCAGCAAATCTAAAATTCCCAATCTCTAATTGCTAATGAGCTAAGCAGGGCAGCAGCTGCCTCTCCTCCACCTCGCACCCTGTGCCCCAGCCCAAGGGCTGGAGCATCTTTCCCCGGGGCACCGTACGGGCAGGACTGGCTGCTGAGTTGTTTGTCACCCAGACCCTGCGTCCCCATGCCCGGCTGCTCCCCTGCCACACCGGCCCGCGAGGAACCGGGGTCTCTGGGCTCACCTAACCGATGGAGACAGGCGATAGCCGGGGCGGAAAGGCCGG